ATCATCCCCAGCTGTCCAGATACCTCTGGGGTGAGGGCCCACCTCCCCAGGACCTCTGGGGTGGGGTCCCACTTCTCATCACCTCGAGCTCCACAGGACTCCATCATCCCCAGCTGTTAAAAGGACCCCTGGGACGACAGCTTACATCCCATCATCCCCAGCTGTTAAAAGGACCCCTGGGTCCCCATCATCCTCAGAGGTGGAAAGATCTCTGGTTGGGACCCACCCCCCATCATTCCCATCCACCCATAAGACCCTTAAGAGGGCAGCCCACCTCCCCTCATCTCCCTCTACCCAGAGACCCCTGGGCTTCCCATAATCCCCAGCCTCTCCAAGACACCTGGGATGAAGGTGAGCAGAAACCAGGATGCAACCCAACCTTCCTTCCTTCCTCTTGGGTTTCCCCCTCCCTCCCCCTCCCCCCAAAAGGCACCACCTCTTAATAGGATTTATAGAACAATTCCGCCCCCCCCCACCCCCATAGTTCTAGGGTTGGTCAAATCTTTCCTTGGCGACCCCCAATCTTCCTTTAAGTCAGAGGTCTCCAAACTCGGCAACATTAAGCCTTGTGGACTTCAACTCCCAGAATTCTCCAGCCAGCGTAGCTTCTCCCAGGTGAGTGTAGCTGGCTGGAGAATTCTGGGAGTTGGAAGTCCGCAAGTCTTAAAGTTGCCGAGTTTGAGGACCCCTGCTTTAAAGTAAAGGAGTCGGACGGGGAGTTGTCCAGTTGAGTACCTCCCCCTCCCCTCTGCTTTGAAGTAGACATCCCATAGATTTGGGGAGGGGGGGGGCGGGAACAGGAGGGTAGCAAGATTTAAAACAGGTATTGATGATGGACAGGTGGGTGTTTTGCTACGTCTGGACACAGCTTCAGGTGCGAGCTCTTCTAAGAGCAACCTGAAATGAGAAAAAGCAATGAAGGTGGCATCTTCTTTGTGTGTGTGTGTGTGTGTGTGTGTGTGTGTGTGTGTAAAAAGGGCCCCTGCATATGTGGGAAACGATGGACTCTTCCCCCACCCCCCATGTCTTCTGGCTTGAGAAGAGTTGTGGTTCTCCCATTGATGTGGTTGTGTGGACCATCATTGGCTGTTCTGTGGTTATTGGCAGCATGCTGGCTTGCAAATTCATGGGAGCCAGAGCCAAGTCCTCAACTTACAACCGTTGGTCCTAGGATCCAAAGTTACAACAACACTGAGAAAAGTGACATGTTGACAGTCGTCACCGTTAATGGCCAAAATACACTTAACTGGCCAAAAAAAGGTGGCCAAATTGGGCAAAACTCGCTCAGTGATGGAAGTTTGGATCTCAATTGCAGCTGCAAGCCGAGGACTAGCTTCAGTCTTGCCTCGAGTCGGCAGCCTCCCCGTGCTTATCGCAAGGCCCACGGATGTGTGTGTGTGTCTCTCAAGAAGAACGTTGTCCCCCCCACCAAAATCTTCCCTCCTTCCCACGACACGGTCTGAGTTGCAGGATGTTCAGATTTGGGGTTCATTTACATCTCGGATAATATGCTGAAGTTAAATATATACCCCCTGAGTGCAGAAGTTATTGTGTATTCATCCATGTGGTTCCGGTGATGAGCACTTCCTCAAATTGAAAGGCCAACATATTACTGAGACGTTCCTCTCGTGCTTAAACCAACTTCCGACCAACATTGGCAGCTGGCGAGCTACTTATCCAGTTCAGTTGGTTTGCTTGTTCCGTTCGACGGTTCTTTTTGCCTTTGGTGCAAAAATCAGAAATCTGGTTTGGTAGAACGGTGCCTGTTCTAACTGGTATACTTTCTTAAAAGACAGGTGGAAGTTTGTAGAGGTTTTCCGTCATCCAGGTCACGGTTGTTCCAGAGGTGCTTTTTTCCGGAGGCAACTGGGCTTTCTGGTTTTTCTTTTGAAGAGGTTTTGCTTCTCATCCAAGAGGCTTCTTCAGCTCTGACCAGGTGGTGGGGAGCGGAAGGATTGATACTCCTTGCAGACAGCTGGTCGTTTGCATCCTTTTTAGAGTGTCATTGAGGACACTTGGAGGTTTATCCGTGTCCTTGGGGGTCACCAGGTGGTGGAAATGGTTCCTTGTAGTCTGTAGATTTTTTCTGGAAATCCGTTCACAGTCCCACGCCGTTCGAAGAGTGTCCATCCCAGATCCCATAACCAAAAGTCTACAAGACTGCAGACTACAGGAACCATTTCCACCACTCAGGTGACCCTGAGGACACAGATAAACCTCCAAGTGGCCTCAACGCCTCTCTAAAAAGGATGCCTGCAAGGAGTCCCCGCCATCCAGTCAGAACTGAAGAAGCTTCTTGGATGAGAAGCAAAACGCTTTCAAAGAAAAAAACAAGGAAGTTAAAAAGGCCTCTTTAATCGGTTCCTTTGGGTAAATTCTCTGTTTGAAGCTTTGGGTAGGGCTGTTTCGGGTGTGTTTTGGGCGAGATATATGAACTCAACCCATTTCCATGTAAAAGAGACACCTGAGAGCAGGTGTTTCATTCAAACTCTTCCCAAATCTCATTTTATGGAAACATACCTGCCTCCAGGTGTCACCCAGCCTAACAACCATTAGTTTAACAATCAAAATTATAGAAGCACTGGGGAAAAAAAGATGAGCTAAGACGGGCCTTTCGACCTATGACCATCCCAGCATCCTCACCATATCAAAATGTGGGTGCTTATGGCAACCAGCATGTATTTAGGACCGTCGCAGCATCCGTCACTATCTGTGACCTTCCCAGCCGGCTTCCGACAACCAAAACCAAGGGGAAAAGTCGAATTTGCTCACCAACGCCATGATTCACTTAACAGCTGAGGTGAGAAAGGTCGTAAAACCAGGCTCGGCTGACTGAACAAACGGCCAGCAGCGGATATTCTGACCCCATTGTGGTCGTAAGTCAAGAACTACCCGCATAGCGATAAATGCAAAAAAAAATAGCACGGCCTTTTCTGTCCTATCCCAAGAAGGATGTTTATCTGTCCCTTAAGGGAAAGGGTAAATATTTCCCTGGGTTCGTTTCCATTTGTTGATAGAGGGGGAAAGTGATGTTTTGTAAACCCTTCAAGCCAAACACCCCTTCGTCTTATCTTCCTTGGTCAATATTTTCCTGCTAACAAGCACACCTCCAACAGCTTTCTAATATTCCCAGTGTTGGTTCCTTGTTTGTATCTCCAGGGTGGCTTTTCCCTATTTCTAACAACAGGTCTGTTGCTGTTTATTAGATAATGCTTCTCTTTCCTTCCTTCCTTCCTTCCGATCACTTTCACTAGTGAAAAAGCTAATTTTACTGTTGACTATTTATTTTTGTCTGAAATGTCCACTGAGTTTGAACTCAAGATCCTTGTTTCTTTGCCCTGTAACCATCTGGGCGAGAGCTTTTAACTACAGGACGTAGTTCAAATAGCTTTTTGAAAGCAGGGAGCTATCAATCTTAAGCAGACTTTAGCTGAAATCCATTTTAAGTGCAAGGCCTCTTCCACCTTCAGGAAAATAAAAGCAAAATCTTGGAATTAGCACTCTATCGTGTTTCCTCTTTGTACATTTAGATGCGGGGGTAGAGAAACATCCTGCATTTGCAGTTTATTTTTATTTTTTTTAATTTCTGCCAGGCTTTCTAATTGTCCAGCCACATGGAGTCGTATCAGGAGCTGTTAAGATGACCTTGACCGTTGCTAGCATGACTTTTTAATACAAGTAAAATAAATCCATTGATTATTTGAACGTGGATCCCCAGTGAAGAACACACGCATGATTTTGCAGGCAAAATGATCCTTCTTATGAGTGGGTGATACTTTTTAATCTTCCGTTGAACCGAAAAGATTGGTTTAAGAGCAGAACGCGCGATCACATTTCAGTGCCATGTTTACTTGGGAGAATTAAGCATGGTTTTTTTTTTGTTTTTTTTTTTGGTAAGCTTGAAGCAAGCTCCCCAAAACGCTTCAACGCTGGGAGTCAAACTACGACTTCTGCTTTTCTGTAGCCCCTGCATTTGTTACCTCCGTGTAAATAGCCGATTGTAGCCCAGCTCCGCCTAAATTCACCCGAAAGTCTCGTGTGCCACCATTTACTCGAGCAGGAATTTAGTTTCCTGCCACAGAGGAAGTTACTACTGAACAGAACATCTTCTCGTTCCAGGATTCCTTAGCCGTGTTATTTTTATAACGCCGCCATCGTTTGTCATTTGGGTAATTTGCCAAAATAGCAAAAAAAAGGGGGTTATTTTGCATTCCCCTCCCCCGCCCCGAAGAAATAATTATGCAGTTCAATATGTAATAAAGCGATTGGCACAATCTCTACCCCAAAATTCCTTCTATGCAAAGCAAGTAAAATGCTTCAAGACAACAAGGAAATGTATGTATAGAAGGACACGTTCGAAGCAGATGGCTGCTAGTGCAATTTGAATAATTTTGTTTGGACCTCCCAACGTAGGGGGCTGCCCTTTTATTGCTCAGTATTAACACACACGTATAATGTCTCCTCCATAAATGCAGGCCTCCTCATTTTATTCCTCCTCTTTATTTCGGTCTGCTAGGTATAAAAAATATTTGTGTCGTGTATTTTCGGATTGATTTTCTCCAAAGACAATACGATATCTTCAGCAGATAGAAATGCACCGGTGTCAGCCTTTCTGGGCCCATTTACAGGTGACATTTTTGTAAACAGAATAGCTGGGTTTCATACAGCTCTGTTTTTATTTTCAAACCATGTTTTGTGAGGTCTTAACCATGTTTTGGGGTGACCTCAGACCTGGAGGACGTTTTGAATGCCAATAAACGCGTCCCTTTTTCAAGTTTAAAATCTCATCTTGTTCCTGGAGGATAAACTGGTAATTTTCTTGGTTAGCCTTGGTTCTGACTGGGCCCCCCTCCACCTGGATACGTTTGAATGATTTTTATCAGATAATTGGTCTGGCTCATCAGCTACGCAAT